TTCAATAGACGGGCACTATCCCCTGAACCGCCCAACTGCCCTCTGCGCCTCTCATTAAACGGACATTGCCTATCGCCCCTCGAGCGTGGAACGTCAATCCACTTGGTAATTCGACCTAGAAGTCGCCTTTAATAGTTCAAAATGATAACTGTTCTCCGATAGCTTACAAACATTCCACATTTGTATTCCAAAAGCCATCCTCATCATATAAACGGTATCGGAAGTTGGCATCCACTTGGCGCCACCGCAATTCCTTCATCATAGCTGCCGCGTGCACCACTCGTGTTTCATCCACTTCCCCGAGTGGACTAACCCATTTTCCAATTGCCTTGAAGAGACTCTCTTCGCTATCCACCTGAAGGTCATCTGCCCGCAACAGGGACAGGACGGCGTCAGGTGGTAGATGGATGAAAAAATCACTCACAGCTATTATATCGAATGTCTTCTTGATGTACTGAAGGCAGGCGTTTCTCAAATGGTCACTCTTCAGCAACTGTGAAAGGTCCCAGCGATTTTTTATGTCTTCGGAATTCAACCTGCCAGCTAACTATAACGTGAAAACGCTTACCTAGTGGCCATATAACTCACAACCCATTCTTCCACGTGAGGCATTAGGAGCTGTTGTGAGAGCACAATCAGCCCAGCCGCATTCGCTTCGTGGACTTCAAGTTGTCCTGTGTATATATAATGCATGAACGGTGTAGCGATTCTAGAGTGCAAATGTAAGGTAAAATGGGCAAGTACTCTGAAGAAACTGTGGGCCACTTGAGTACCGCATCCTGGCCTTTCGTATGCGATTCACACAGTGTATTACACAACGAGGGCACGCGGGAAGCCAAAACAATCCTGTGTGCATGCATCTTTACGTTGTCTTTTAGCTTGAAATGGGAAGCAAATTATGGATTCATGTAGTGCACGTACTTCAATGGTCAAATCTGTGAGCTTTCCGGCCATACGAAGTGTATTTAATTGGGGAAGGCAGTTTATAAGGGCCAGTTGGTCGTCAAACATCTGCGTCGCCTGGTGCGCCATTTTGCATGCACAACAAAAGCCTAGTATGGAGATAAAAGCAGTCAGTCTGCATTAGATAGTTAAGAGAGGCACCAAACTTACATGCAAAAATTACCCACACTGCTACAAATACTTCTCCCTATCCTTGATTGCTCCCTTGAAAATAAGCGGCAGAAAATTTCGAACTAAGAATGAAAAGTATAGGGGAATTTGGCTCTTTAAAGGGTTCTTTGGTGGTCGCCACAGACACTTTTAGCACGGCAAGTTGCATATGTTAAAGCTGTGATCATGTCTGACATCGATTTTATGTATGCCTGACTTCGATTTCATGCATGCATGTGTGCGTCGGGAGGACGCAACTGCATTTTTATTGAAGATACTATCGAATGTGAATCCGGAGAAGAAGACGTTCCGTCAACATAACTGGCTTATGACGATGTAATCCTGACTCAGACCGTTTGAACACATTTCGAAAGAATTTACTGCAGGTAATGATGAGGGAGTCCGTGAAAATCACAGGAAGCTGCGATGAAATTCTGTGATAGGATGTAAACTGATCCGTAGCCAACCAAAATTGAATTTATAAGTATACTTACCAGTTTCACTTCAAAGCGTTATCTGGTCACTAGGAATTCGATCGCGTCAGTATGTTTGAGTAAGGGTCTGGCATTCATTGAAAAGGTAGAATTTTGGTCGGGCCGCTTAGGCCTGCTGTCACTGGTGGTTAAGGGTTGAGAACTTTTAGCTTATAAATTCCAATTTCGTTAACATTGATCATAAATCTAGCAATTGCACAATATATATCGACTTAAAAGGAACAAATTTCCTTCCATCGCGACTGCTCATTTGGATTCGTTCGTGATACTTCGGATTCATGCATATGACATGTTGAACCTATTTCGGAACCGTACGCTGTCAATGTGGAAATTCTATAATTGTTGATGAAGTCTATATTTCATTAGTAATACAGTATATCCGCACTCACAAAGTGCTTTATCCCTAGTAGCAATTCTCGACTACTCAGCGACTAAAAGTTGACTATTCCTACTCGGTCCGTCGACTAATAGTCGTCTACTTTGGCCAGAAAATAGTCGCATAATAGTCGAAAACGCGTGTAGGGGAGTGCGCTTCAACTGCACAAACCAATCAGATTTCAGATTGCGTCATTTGGTTAATCAATTAGTTCACAACATTGCGAATGTCTAGAAATAGCCACTCATAGTCGGCTAATAGTCGACTAGTTGCTACTGGGGATCTAGTTGGCTACGGTGTATTTTGGCCAAGCTGTATGATCCCTGCTAGCACAATTCCTGGATTCCCCGTGCTCGTGACGGGGTGATTCGGGGGAATCCGAGGATGAAAAATTTTGATTAAGAAGTTATATCTACAGAGCCCATTTTTCAATATCAACTTTCTTATCAATAAATTATTAATCACATTATCCTCTAATAAAAAAAATAACTTGGGGTCTAAAAAACTAAAATAAGGGGGCATTCCGCCGCGAACACATTTTCAAGCGTCGGGGGTACGGGTTTACATCCCCGTCCTGATCCCCGTAAAAACCGGCCGGGCTGGACGGTGAAATCCCCGGACTGAACGGGGAATCAAGGCGGGGTTTTTAACCCGTTCTCCCCCGCCGCCCCCTTGTAATACAGCTGAACTGAATTGG